TTTGTTTATTAAATTAAACATGTCAGTGTAGAGACTAGTTTGAAACAATAGGAATTTTTGCCTTTGTACACAAGTATATATTTGACCAAAATGGCGTCACTAACACCATGCCAGACACTTTTAAACACAGGTTTAAGACTGTATTTGATAAGACAGTTGTATGTTAGGTGTCCACTTTGCTGTGTTTATAAAAATTATTAGGGTTGACTATTTGAAATCATGGGGCAGTGACTAGAAGATTTGTTTAAAAAAGTTGCAAACTAGACAAGAAACGCATGCAAGATGTTGCAGCGAACAGTTTGCACCAAATTCAGATTTTGCACTATTGTGCATTTTACTGCACAATAAGTAATATATGATTTTTTTCATCCCATGCCATTGAGCACAATTTTGAAATAGAAAGACATAATCTCAACCTCAGACAGCTAATAAATTTATTAGTTGTCTGAGTCTCAACATAAAACTAGTGGAAAAATGCCAATTTGGGAAATTTTTCATTACATTGCTGACTTTTGTATCTCAACAAATTGTCAGTGACCCAATTTTTTCCCAGTTCTGGTATTTTGGTTGCATGAACTCGTAAATATTATCTGCTGAACATGACAGGGTTTTAAATAAAATAAAAGTGCAACTAAATCAAAACACGCACAACAATATTGAAGTTCACTTAAAAAAAAAAAAAAAAAAAAATAACTGGGAATCATAAGAAAAAAATGACATCACAATAAAAAAAAAATCTATTGTACAATTATAAAATAGTAATAATGAAGTTAAAATGAAGTCGTTGATTTCCTAAGTTGTGATTATTTTGGGCAACCCATTATGAGATGAAATACAAAACAAATTTGAATTTGGAACACTACAATTTGAAAACAAAAAATCTTTCACATGCACACCTTGAATTTAAGGGGAAAACTAGCATTTCACAATTGCAATTTGAAAAAATAGTATTTTATAGTTTCTTCGTCCCTACACAGTAATAACAAAGACTTTTGAAATCATGTATGTTTGATAATACGACATTGCGATTATGCCGCGAAGGGTGCGGTATGTCTGTAGTATTTTATAGCAGTCAGTAAATTAGCTATTCGTCGATTGGTTGTTAATTTAATTAGATGCTAATAGCATGGAATTTGGACCAATGACATTTTGTTTAGTTATTTAAATTACCTATGCAGGGATTTTGATCACGCGTTCGTTTTCTGCGTTCAACGATAGCAGATTTTAAATATTGGAAAAAATATTATTCACTGTATTTTATTATTGACGAATTCCTGACAAGGTTAGTTTCATAGTCTACCATTTAAACCTGAAAGATGTTTCATTTATAATTTACATCGTATTTGTTCTGAAATTTACTGAAGTTATGAAGGTTATGTGTAGTAAGCGTGTTCTCAAGCTGGCATGCTGCCAGTGCGTGCACACATCGTGTTCTATCATATGCTAATGAGTTAACATCAGGGCCTCAACGAGCTCCACGTTTAGAAGAAGACTATTTCGAAAGACGATCTAGACATTTCCTGTTTCGTTCTCATTACAGGCAACTGACTTATTTTCATTTCAACAACAAGCGTTTGGAACATTTATAACCCATGGTAAGCTATTTTTTTCTCGAAATGAGTATGAATGAAGCTACTGTCACAAAGTACACAATGGTAACTGAACATGTGACGGGTTAGTACCGCCCGCATACACACGTTACAAATTTCTGCCGATTTATATTCCTGGTTTTGAAATATTTAATACTAGTAGATTCCAACGGTGCATACCAAGTAACAAATTGTCAAAAAATACTACGAGCACGTTCAGTATTTGACATCGTATTCAAAGTAAGACGACCCGGGCCATATGGAGGGGTAAACTGTAAACTAAAACGTTGTCTGTAGTGACAATGTTGTCGCCACTGTCTGTGTTTGTGGTTTTCTGCTGATATTGTGGAGATTGGTTGGACTATTCCCATCCCTCCCCATTTTTAACTATCAAAATTTGGCACTGGGCTGAAATTTACTGTCACTACCATATTGTTTCGAACGCTAAAACAGTTACACTACCAGCCAAGTTGCCAACTGTTTTTTTTTTTTTTTATGAGTGCGCGCCCAAAGATCGTTACGCGATTACAACAAGTTAGGTCAGACCAACCATAACAGGAGACGTCAAACTCAGTGGGAGACTCTGACACCTTGAATATAAACATAGTAAGGCCAACAGTTTATCCAGAATTCGCAATGAATCTCGACGAATCTGTGACCATATCAAGCACGTAGTACATACGTCAAGTAAATTTGCATGTGAATTGTGGCTGTGAAATGCTCTCAACAAGGCTCTTGTTGCAGTGTCAACTAGCCCTGCGTACAG